GGGGGGGGGTTGTAATCTGGAGATAATGATCAAATTAGAGAAAAAATGACCGCGAAAATTTGGTAACTTCAGTAACTTGAGAGTTCAAGATAACTGAAGAATGACAAATTGTGTGCCTTTCAGTAATGCTCACAGGGAAAAGTGAGCATAAATGTACTAAATTGAAGAAAAAAATCAATAACAGTATCGTGTAAGTTTGTAAGCGTTTTAGCGTTTAATCGGCTGCTTTTACTGTTGCATCCCCAAAAACTGGGAATATTTTCGGGTATTCTTGGGTCTGCTGGGGTGAAATTAGTTATAGTAAAGCGCATAGAGCTATTTTTTTAGAGTGAATATGCGTTACCTTAGCTTAATTTAAACTACCCGTCCCTAGTTTTTAGAAGTTTGACGTCAAAAATTTTAACTTTCACAACATATCACGGTTTTTCAAATGCAATTCTTTGAATATATTGAAAAGGACCCCGAATAATCTTATGATTTTGATAGAGTAGAATATAAAACATTTGGTTTCCTACTCCATGGACTTAGTAACTCAAAACAGAAGAAGAAAAAATGTCAGATAGAACTTTGTAATTCTGAAATATCGAAATGCTATCAATATAAAGTATAGTTATGAAATATCATGTCTTAGGAGAATATAACATTAAGTAAACTCTTATTGTCACCATAAAGGCGCAATAGAACATTGCAAATGGCTCTGTTCTTTCGAACAAAGTGAAGTGGGACGTATTCCTACAGTCAGAGGAGTTAGACAGGGTTCTTTATTCTCCTCATTTCTATTCAATCTATTTTTTTAAGAAGCAGGAGACACACCTTACCACCATTAATTTTTTTTACGCCTCTCTCGACAAAAATTAGATCACTTAGGGGGCACGCTTCCGAAAGGCACTCAGACAAAAAGACAGATAGACAGACTGACAGACAAACAAACAAAAACAAACATACGTACAAACAAACATACGAACAACGTAGAACAACAGCTTTCATTACAAATATATATGCAGATATATACACAGACACACGCACGTTCACCTCTCCACTACCACCACCACCACCACCATCACCACCACCACCACCATCTCCTCTACCACTACCACCACTATCACTATCACCATCGCCACTACCACCACCACCACCACCACCACCACTACCGCCACACCACACACACGTGATTTACACTGATGAGGGGTGTGGACAGTTTATTGTCTTGTTGGCTTTGAACCAAAGTTGTAACACGGAGTGACAATAACGACAAATAGGCTCGGTGATCGACCAGAGAGAAGACAATATCCCAGGTCATAAAATGGCTTCAGTAACCTCATGGTAAACCCCTCGGACTCGCAACCGTAAAGTTGTAGGTTCGAATCCCACCAAGGGCTCGACGTCGTGCCCTGGGGAACAGCACTATGCACTAATTTTTCTCATTTCACCTTAGTGGGAATGAGTAGCCGGCTATAGAGCGAACGATTTTGTCAGTTTGTTTGAACGCGCGTAATCCGCAAGTTGCATTGCATGCTACCAAGGAAGCCCAAAATAAAAAATTCTGTTATAATCATTGGCTCTGGGGGTCTTCTGTGGTAAGAATAGCAGTTTTAAAGCGCGTAGAGCATGCTGAAGAGCGTGGATATGCAAGGTATACATGCAATTATTTTTATTATTACATATTTAAATCACAATACACGTACGCGATTGCGATATTTCTGATCTTGGGTTGCACCGAACTATCTCAGAAAAAACATTAAAATTCTTGATTTTCACCTTGTGCTTCTATTCTTTTCTGGGTTTGATTTATTTTCGTTTTCCGCCTTGCTTTGCCTTCTTATTAATTAATTTTATTAATTAACTTATTTTCCCTTTAGTTTTTTTTTATTTTAAGATTGCTTACTGGTTTATTTTTGTTTTGCTTTTATGTTGTTGTTTTTTTCTTTTTCTGTTTGTTGTTGCTTTTGACTTTTGGACATGATGGGAG